CAGTCACTACATTTATGAGGTAAGTCAGCCGAATGTTTGAAATCCAAATGAATTTTAAGATCATCAATCTGTCCTGTTGAATATTCACAATACTGACATAAATAAATCCCTTCAGATATATGTGAATTTAAATGCTTGCAGTACTCAAGCATACTTGAAAAGCCCTTCCCACAGTCATCACAAACATGAGGAAATATTTTAGTATGTTCAATAGCAACATGCCTGTTAACAGTCGTATGAAGTGTACTCCAAAAACCACATACGTGACATACAAAGAAGTTCTTACATTTGTCAAAAGTAATTTTGCTCAAGAGGTTGTACTGTCCGTGTTCTCCGTTGTTATACTTATCACTTAATTCTATTAATTTACATGCATGCTCATTTACCACGTGGCTGTGCAAGTCTTCTGGATCGTTAGTTTCGTGCTCACAGAACTGGCACAAGTACTGCTCATCACAGCTGTGCTCCTGGAAGTGCAGGTAGAGCTCACTGCTTGAGGAGAAATGCACGTCACACTCCTCGCACCAGTAGAGGTGGTTGCTGAAGTGGGTGTCTGCAGTGTGCTGGCTGAGGTTCTCAAAGATGACGGTCTTATAGTCACAGTATTTACAAATGTAGGGATCCTCTTCGTGTAGCTTGGCATGTTCAATCAGAAGCATGTTGGTAGAGAAACTTTCCTTGCATACTCGGCACACATTCGAGTCCATATGCTTATGCTTTAGGATTATATGCTGCTTTAAATCAGAAAAATACTTACTGTTGAATTCACAAAGTTCACATTTATAGAGGCCATTGCTATCCACTCTCAGTAAAGGCCATTTCTGTTGGGTAGTCACATTCAAAGTTTGGCTTTTGTCAAGATTTTTACAAAGTTTAGAGGGTGGCTCTTCATCCTTTTGGTCTTGGAGACGTTCTGAAGAATTGTTCTCTGTCTCTATATCATAGTCCTCTGAAGCTGCATGTACTTCCACAGCATTTGGAACGTCTTCAGCAGCGTGGACCTCTATAGGACTCTCCTCGTGAGATTGCTGGTTAACTGACTCAGGTGAGTCACTCTCTTCATCACAAACTTCAACATCAGCAGATTTATCTGAAACAAAACAAACCTGCAGAAAAGGCAGTGTGCTCTAGAATTCTAAGTACAGGACTGGGAAACAGGTAGTTATGATATCTGTTTCTGGCCTTGATTCCTTCTGCAAATTTTGGGAGATCATTTGATATCTCAGTATCTGAATCATCATCTTTTTTATCAAAATATTTTAAGTCTGGCTGTCTCATAGAATAGACACTGTAACAATGATCAGAAAAAATTCCATTGAATCCATCTGCAATTCTGCTTATTCCAGAGGAATCTGAGTAATGAGAAAGGTGTAAAGTCTTCCTTTTTCTTTTTTTTAAAGGATATTTATTCATATCTTTTCAATTTGATATCATTCTTAATATTGCAATGAAGAAAAATGAATTACAGGGACTCTTCCACAGACAGTAAAAAGTGCCTCCTTTTAACTGAGGAGGACACAGGGAAACTCAAGTAAATTGAGAAGCAGCAGAACCAGGGACTACAACACATGTCTTCAGATTCCTGAGTACTGGTCTTCTGATTTCTGAGCACTGGCACTAGCAAGCAGCACCTTGTTTTTAGTTCTTAGCCACCAGTTGAAAAGAAGGTCACTATTACCCTCATCTGCACCTGAGCCCCTTAAGCTTATTTTGAAAAAAAGGGAACATTAGTATTTTTATCAGCAATCTTATCATTTGGGATTGACATACTTGATTAAGTAAAAATAGTATTTTATTGTTTCTGCTGTTTTACTAATACATTTATCCTACCAAATAATTAAAATATATTAGTTAGCTATCAAAGGGTTCTCTATTGACCCATACTAGGAGAGATAATACTGATGTTAATTCAAACTCTGGGGAATAATGTATCTACATTTATATTTTTGTTGTTTCTGTTGTCATGAAGCGACAGCCATGTTACATAAACAACGAATTATGCAGGGATGGTTTTTAGCACTGTAATCAAATAAAACAACAAATTAATCTAATGATACATAGTTAATGCTATGCATTGTCGAAGTGCTACATGGTAATTAGACATAAAACTTAAGCAGCTCATATAAAAGGGAAATTGATGTTATGTTTGCATCCCTGAACCAAATATTTCTTTGAGGGTATTGGAGAAAAAGAAATATTGATGATTCTAGTCTTTTTTCTTGCATGGGGGAAAAAGTTTTCTTTGGGGATTGAAAATCATATAACTTTTCAATTTTGGGGCATCCTCCTTACTGGCAGATACTAATACATGTAATTTATTTAGATATTAGCAATATCAAACTTCATAACTCAAGTGAGTTGCTACTCACTTATGTCACATATTCATGTTACCTAATTCCAATTATGAATATATGAATATATCACGTTAAACTTTCCGCTTCTCATAGGGTAAACTAAGAAAACAAGTTTGGATTAAGAAGGGTAAGGAACAAGAAAACATTTTAGAGTATTTGGCACTCAGAAGGAAAGCAAGCTGGTTTTCAAAAAGAGTTCAAGCAAATAAAAAGTATAAAAGTGAAGGTAGAAAGTAGGTAGAGCAATAAAGGAATGGAATAGCAGGCACAGATATGTGACAAAAGGAAAAAGGCAAAAAGCAGAATAGGGGATGTAAGTCCAGAAAATTGGAAGAGACAGCATAAGACCAGGTCAGTGGATACAGAGTAAATAAGGAATCTATGGAAGCACAAAGAAGTTCAGTATGATCTACCTTGGTTCTCCTTCACTCATATTCCCAGGACACAATCTAAGATTTAGTATAATTATGTGATCTTAAAAGCAGCTGCTTTGACTGCACAGTTGATAAGATTAATCCTGCAAATTCAAGAATTTAGACATAATTGACTGTCATCTCCAAATAGTAAACAATTCATTCTTCCCAAATGGATCAGGTTGATCCAATTTAAAGAGAAGCAAATATATACTGGTTCTGCTATAAAATAAAACAAAAACCCAGGTAATACACTTAGATACGTACATTTAAAAGGTTATTTCATTCTATTACCAGGCCTGCCATGCCAGCCCCACCTCTGGGGCGTGCTGAGAGGGCAATTGAGACTGGGCGTGGTGCCGCAGGCCTGTAATACCAGCTCTTGGGACACTGTAAACAGGCAGATCACCAGGAGTTGGATTTATGGAGTGGGACCAAGTAGACCCTTACTAAAATACAAAAAAAAAAAAACAACCCTGCTTTATTGTATATAAGGGACATTTATGAATGAAGATCTCTACATATGCTGTAAACCCTAAAAAGTTGAAAACAATACTGTAAAAATAATAGACTTTTGAACATTGCTTGTGAATAAACACTTCAACATTATTCTCCATATGGAATTTTTTTCCCTACCAAGTCATGTGATGGAAAAACTGTACTGTTTTAAAGGTAAACTCATGGCTACATCAATTAAGTCTTCAAACTATGGTTTGAAAAAACTATAGTTATTTCATTATAATTTGATTACATAGGAAAGATTAGAAAGCTTCAGCTAATGAGCTGGAGTCACCAGTTCCCATGCCTTTTTATATTTTAAAACAAAACTTTCTAATTGTATAAAATAAGGAAAAGTAAGTCAGATTAAGGTTTCATGCCTTGCTCATTCTAACTGTTATGGAAACAATTCTGGCCAGGATGAATATAATCAGCTCCCTATTTCAATTCAGAGAACCATTACCTTGCCCATAGTCCAGGTAGGGTGGGTTGGTTGGTCTCTCTCTCTCTCTCTCTCTCTCTCTCTCTCTCTCTCTCTCACACACACACACACAAACAGTTTTTCGCTTGTAGAAAGATTACTCTAGATAATATAACCATTATATTGGTGTGCAATGGTAATAAAGAGCCATGTTAACTCGTCAAACCTTAGTCCTAAGGAAGATAATCATGTTCAATTTAAAACATGTGAAAAAAATTGTGATGCTAGTAGCCCACTTACCAAAAAAGAACCTTATAAAGAGTCATGATTTGCTAAAATTAAAAACAGGTTCTCCAAAACTTATGCAAGGGTTATGGCAAAATTTTCTAAAGTTATATAGTATAAATTGCTAAATAGAATCTTAAAGCCAAACTGTATCTCTCAAAGAGAAATGAAAACATCAATCTCTCTAAAAATAATGATTTAGAATGATTCTACCCTTCTACTAAAACAAGCAAAACACTTTTTGGTTCTCCTTTCTGGAAATTAAGCAGGCAGGGCCAGCCATACTAAAGATTCTACTAATATGCTGGATCAGTATAGTGCTTTATTCTCTAAATCACTTCATTTGGATTAACCCTAACAGTGACCCTCTAAATTCAGATGAGGAAACAGGTTTAGAAAGCTTTAGCTTGTCCATGGGATTCTAACGTAATGGCTTCAGGATCAAGACTTTGTTTTAAATGCTTTAATCTGCAGCATGCCACTGGTGAATCGCATGAGATTGGGCAAACATTCCAAGCCTCAGTTTTCCCCATTCATAAAAGGAGAACAGTGCTTATCTCATAGAATTGTCATAGGAGTCAATGAGATAATAAACACATGAATTCCTTGACATATTTCCTGGCCTGCTATATACCCCAAAAGTGTAACTACCAGTTATCCACTGATCTTGAGTAAGTTTTTTTTTTCTAACTTCTTAACCTCTCTGTATTTTCCTACATAACATAGTGATAATATTAAGTACTTAATGAAGACATTTTGGTGTCAAAAGTTCATGTAATTTCGAGTACAGTGAACAAAAGATAATGATATGTCTATATGTGCATATGTTTATGCCTAAAAGTACATGCAGTTAATGAACTGCCAAAACAGAATTAACACCAAGTTCTTAAAGAGTTCTCTTACTATCAACACAACTCCATATTAATATTATTTTTCAAATATAGATAAGTATTTGCTCACAAGTCCATTGAGAAAATAGCAATCTAGAAATACCTGTTACAACAAAATGAAAAAGGATACTAAACTTACTTGAATTAAGGCCTCACTTAGCAGGTCCTCATTAACCTCCAAAATGATGTTTTTTATGTCTTCATATGGCATGCGATATGATCCCAAGAAGATAGCTAAAATAAAAGTAATTTTATTACAAATTAAAACAGCATCAAATTGTAAAATTCCTAAATACATCTGATTACTATTTTATAGACTCATAGTACAAAATTTGTCCCTAATGCTCATATACAGACTTATGAAAAATAATAGCTGTTTTCATTTGATGGGCTACTCTATCTAGGCACAATGATCTATTATCTGAGGTTGCAATGCTTCAAGTTCATTAATATTTACATAAAAATAAACTATCAACAGCACTTACAACTATATGCTCAGGCATTTTAAATTGAAGTAATACAAAATGACACATAAAAACCTAGATATTTTATTTCATGTTCATATTTTAATTCAACATACAACTGAATATAGATTGTCAGATGCATCCAACACAGTACTTCTCAGAAAGGGCATTAAAGTTACCGAAATAAAAGAAAAGTGTATCAATCTAAGTGGTCCTCTATGATCTATGAGGTTTCATTTCCCACCTTTTTACTTGCCATCAATCACAGTCTGAAAATACTAAATGGAAAGTTCGAGAAAAAAACAACTTAAAGTTTTTATTTGAGTACTATTCTTAGTCCATTGCAATCACAATGTGAATCATGGCTTTATCTAGTGAATCCCTATAAGTAATACGCTACCTGTTCCTGTTCCTTAATCATTTAGCAGATTTCTGGGTCATTAGATCAACTGTTAAGTATTTTAATCCTTCTGCCTATGTAATCTTTATATTTAACATTTTTGGTGCTGGGGATTAACTTAGGACCTTGTGCTTGCCAGGAAGACTCTTATGCTACCGAGCTATCTCCGCAGCACATCCCAAAAGCATAAGAGTGGTGATGCTAGCACTTTGGACATGCTACAAAAAACAGCTCTGAAATCCTTTCTTTACATATTATCTCATCTCATCACATGCATAGTATAATAGGATATTTTGAAAGAGAAAAGCCAGAATAATTTAACTTTCTTTATAACATTATTATAATTGTGCTGCATTATTATTATCATTGTAATTTCTGTGTCTAATTTATAAATTCAACTTTATCATAAGAATGTATCATAGAAAAAAATCATAGTATTGGCAGGGCTTAGTACTAGCTATGGTTCCCTGCATCTAATGGAACATTTCCCCTGCAGAGAAGAAGGGACTACCGTACTTCATACTTCTCACACATAAGAAGACAATGAAGTGCTTGAATCACCCATGTGCTCTGAATTCATAACTGACATCCATGTGGTGTACAATTAATTGCTCTATATATTGAATCATTATTTTTTCTTGTCAACTTTTATTAAATGGACACTATTTTATGTCATATTGGAATACTGTAAAAAATTATAGTTAGAATAGCTAACAATTGCTCAGAAAGTGTTTTTCAATATATTCCATTTTAATCTCCACTAAATATACTTTTTAAAGAATATGGATATGTTCTTACGACTATATATGTTCAAGCTATTTCTAAGAATACTTTTATTTCATGAAAAGGTCTGTATGACTTCATTGATACCAAAATATAATTGAAGCTTTACTATCTGCACAAATGATTGCGTAGGCATAAGACCAAATGAGATCTTCACAATCTAAGTAAATGATGTTGACAATGATCAACCAGCAATTGAGATCATGGGTGTTTTTACAAAAGATTAATTGTCAACTTTAATGTCAACATTTAATATCAACTTTAAGAAAATGCATCACCAAGTAAGCAAAGTACAGCATTACAACAGCTATTAGTGAATTTGTTTTCTGGCAGTGACATTACTACTTGTCATGCCTGACCCAGGCAAGCCCTTCTCAGCAATAAGACTGTTCTTTCTCAGCAAACACAAATGACACCAACTGGACCATGCTTCTTCCCTCAGCAAACAGGATGATGGCCATAAAAAAATTTAGGACCAGACATACAATGTCCCCATCGCAGAAAAGTCCAGTATTATCTACACACCTGTACTGACTGTCCTTGGAACTCTGATCTCAAATATTTCATGCAGATGCCTTGGGATTATAACCCCACCTTAAATACTATAAAAATTAACTTCCCCTCTGGCATGCTGCTGAAATCATTCGAAATCTCAGCTTATCTGTACCCAGACAAAATAAATCCAGCATTTATTCTGTATTTCTCACATAAAGCCTATCTTTCTGGGTGGTTTTTCATGTACAGTTGGTAACACTACTGATGCAAAAATAGTAAATTGTTTATTTTAATCTGATTGTGGCATAGTCCCTAACAAAAGAACTCCATGGCATTCTTTCAATAATTAGTAATGCTTGATACTTTGAGTTTTCTCATGCCTATAATTTTACGATCCTAAGAATCTAGACAGAGTCCTGAAGTGACAAAAATATTCTGAACTGAATGCAGAGGGGAGAGTATGTCACATTAAAATTTAAAGGCAAACTTAAATGAAGAGGATTTTAAATGTCTAGCTACTTTATCAAAAGCATAGTTAAGAACTGACTGGCTTTAAAAAATGACTAGTTTGTTAAAAGTTTCAATATTCATTAAAAAAAGCAAAGATAAAAAATTACCTGACACATGTAGCAATTAATTCAAATAAAAAAGATTTTCCAAATGTGTCCAATGAATATCCAAAAATAATCAATCCCAATTGTAGGCAGCAGAAGATACAATAATGTTTTATCAACAATACCTTCCAAGACTCTTATTACTTGTAAGTTTTATATGAAATGAATAAGGCTATAAGTATGACTTTCTCCGTGGTAGTCAAGTGTAAAAAAACACCCAAATCGTATTTAAATACAGTTTGGCTTTAAGAGGCTGTATATGCCTGTTAAAAGGAGTTGCAAATTTGTTTAAATCAATCAACAACTCCTCTCCAGCGCCACACTATCCCTATACAGAAAATGCTACATACAGAGATTCTGAGCTGTTTTGGGATCCAAAACTCTCAATTCTTTTACTTTCTTCTTTGCAGGTACAGTCTTCTTTTCTTCTGAAGTATCTGCAGTTTTTTGAACTGTAACAAAAATATTGATACATAAACAATTATGGTACTAATGCAAGTACATGAAACAATATTAGTGAACCATATTAACAACATTAATAAAGCTCACTGTAAAATCAATGAATGCATTTATTTCATTAGTTTAAGAAAGAAGATAAACATAAAAATACAGACCTGCTTAGAGGTTCCCCTACAAATTAATTCTCAGCATTTAAGCAGAAAAGATAAGCCAAATAAAACCAAAAATCAATTGCCGCTTCTTACCTAATGTATGACATTAATTACTCTTTTAGCAGGTTTCTACAGCAGCACTGGAATTAAATATGTAGTAAAATCTCACTAATTTGGACTAACTGACAAAAAAGGAAGACATGGATTTCCATTAAAATAGGCTAAAATGTAGACTTTTTTTAATTCAGTGAAATTGTTTTAATGTACCACAAGTAACTTTAATTACTAACAGGTTGCCTAGGAAAATTCCTGTGGAGACTGCTTTGAAGAATAAGTGTGAAGTATTTGCAAGGCAGACAACAGTAGCACATATTTGCATACACACAATTTAAGAACCTCAAGTATGAGGTCTTTGGAGTAAGTTAGACTTATTTCTATCATATTAAAAATATCATTTCCTTTTTTTTTTCTTTTTTTTCTTTTTTGTGGAACCAGGGATTGAACTCAGGCCCTTGCACTTGCCAAGGAAGTGCTTATTCCACTGAGCCATCTCCCTGGCCCTATTTGCTTTCTTAAAAAAAACGTTTATTTTCACTTTGTGTAAAAGGAAACTCTTTAAGATGGTTAAAATATTTGAAAATGGGGGCCTAAGAGATAGCTCAGCAGTCTAAGTACCTGCCTGGCAAGCACAAGAACCCAAGTTCCATTCCCAGTACCAGTACATCATGCCATGCTGGGCCCGCCCAGGTGCACTGAGTCAGGTGCTGAGACTGGGAGTGGCGGCACACGCCTCTTACTCCCACGTCTGGGGAGGTTAAAACAGGATGATCACTATGAGTTTGAGCTGCATAGTGAGAACCTATACCAAACACATAAAAAATTGAAAATAAGGACTAGTGAGATAGCTCAGCGATCTGGAATGCCTGCTTAGGCAAGCTTAGGCAGGTGCAGAGGACTTTCGGTTAGATCCTCAGCACCACATGCTGCATACCAGCTCTGCCCTCAGGGTAGGCTGGGCTGGCCAGAAAAAAAATACAAATACAATTTTAAAAAATTGAAAGTGAGAAATAGTAGTGCCAAGGTGTGGCAGGCATTAGACCCCATAAGCTCCAGCAACCTATGCTCTAGATGAGCCAGTCCAGGAAACAATGTGGCCATGTGCTATGAAAGTGCAATGTGAAGTCAACACCCTAAACCTGGACAGAAACACTACAGACACCACAGTGCTCATATGTTCATATGTTGGCAGCTTATTTTTTCCAATATTAAAAACAGTGTTGATGGGATGGCCAAATAGCTCAGTGGATTAAAGTGATCCCCTGGACTGCTGTGCTGGCCATGCCCTGGGGGCATGCTGAGATAGCAATTGAGACTGGACATTGTGGTGCATGCTTGTAATCTCAGCTCTTGGAATGCTGTAAATAGGCGGATCACTATGAGTCCCATCTAGTAGTGAGGCCCTGAACACCCTGTAGTTCCTTCCCTAAAATACAAAAAAAAAAAAAAAAAAAAAAAAAAAACGGTTGTAGATAATGGAACCTATACAGTGTCTTAATTTTGTGAGAGAAGTGAAGCCATCATTATTGTTTACAAATCAAGTAGATAATATGCTGTTTTCTCCAAATTCATGAGGCTTCTTTATCACTATCAAAAACATAAATTCTTATTGATGTAATAATGTTATTTATCATTTTAGTTCATCTATTCTTTGTGAAGGATTATACAAATGGGTATTTTAAAGAGGAAAAGCAACACAATGATGGTATATTTTTGCTAAGGCAACATGTTCACGGATGTTAACATCTGGGACATGTTCATAATGTGGTATTACAGAATTGTAAAAATTGCAATTCCACTAGGATTCCCTTTGTTCTTTTTTCCCCTTTGTTCTAATGATACAAAACATGAAAAATTAGTTTAATGGAGAAGTAACACATTAAAATGAATTACATAAATAAGTTTTTAACAGTTCTAAGCTTTACTAGACTGACCAGTTTAAAGTGATGCACAGTCTAAGCAGAGAAGTTAATTATACTTAAAAATGATTGTATGAGAGGTCACAAGTAGTTTGCTGTTATAACTCAAGACCAAATTTTTGCTACTACCAAAAAATTAGCTTTAATATATTTCTCTTAAAATCATCACAAATGTTCTTCAAAGGATCTTCCTAAGAACAATGTCCTTTCTAGGTAATAATCAACATCGAATTTATTGTAGTTTTCAAGCTTCAATGTTAAGATAACTGTACAAAAAGAAGCAACAGTTTAATAGTCACTTGCTTTTGTATATTAAAAATATAGAATCAAATAAACATTCAGAAATTTTAACATAGTCACAGAAACAGTAAAATAAACATCCTATTCTCTTAAAATATCTTACACTTCACAATAGGAGACTAATTAACTAGGTATACATAGTTTATTATTAGAGAGCATTCAACATTGAATTTATTCTAGTTATCAAGCGTCCATGTTAAGATAACTGTACATAAGTGAAATAAATTAGATGCACATGTAAATATAAAATTACCTGTCTGGTGTGAGAAACTGAAAATATAAGAACATAAATGTGCAATAGATATTGTGAAATATGAAGAAATTGTTCAAAAGGAAAGAGGAGGGCCCCGGAGAGATAGTTCAGTAGAATAAGTACTTCCCTGGCAAGAGAAGGGTCCTGAGTTCAATCCTGGGTACAGCCCCCCAAAAAAAAAGGAAAAGGAAAAGGGCTATAGGGAGGGAATAGGGGAGAGGAAGGAAGGGACAGAAAAAATGAGAAAAGAAGAATAAAATAAAAACTGAATATTGTGAATTCGGTTCAGAAATAGGCTTGAAAAGGATAGGAATAGGAGAAAAAACAAAAAGAGGAATGAAGATTTATGACATACTGTTATGGATTCTCTATAATGAACGTCAACATTATGTATATGTAAATTGTATCAGTACACTTAAATTTTAAAGAAAGAAAAATATAATATAACTTAGTGACATCTGGATAATACATACATAGATAATGCTTAATACTATGATGTCATATATTAGCATATTTCATTAAAATATAGACTAAACTTTATACCATTACATGAAAAATTATTTTTTTATTATTATTTTTTTGGCGGAACCGGCGATTGAACTCAGACTCTTGCACTTGCCAGGGAAGCGCTTACTCCACTGAGCCATTTCCTCAGCCCTGAAAAATTATTTTAATAAATAAAATATCCAAAATATATCTTTAGTTCACAGTTTTATTGCTCACAATGATATATGTTCCTTGTGCCATAGAATGTGGCTTAAAATCCTATGTTGAAAATGTAATACAATTTGCATGAATGAGGACTAACATTTTGAGTATCACTATGATAAAGCAAGTTTTGAAAGGTTCTTCATAAGGACAAGATTAACAGTAGTTGTAAAAGTACCCTACAAAATGTGATAGTATGTCAATGAATTCTGGTTAAAATACAGAAGTTTAAACTAAAACAAACAAACAAACAAACAAACAAAAAAAAAAACCTTTCTGTAGCTATGTAAGTTTTCAAAAAACAATTAAGAATTTACCATAGTGGAGGTATTTGAGCAATATCTATCTTTGACTTTGACTTCCTTCCTTTAGAAACACTTTCAGGGCTGGAGAGATGGCTCAGTGGTCTAGGGCACCTACTTGGAACAAGCTTGGCAAAGCATCAGGGACCGCGGTTCAATCCCCCAGCACCACATGCCAGCCAGCCCCGCCCCCTGGTGGGCTGAGCTGGCCACACACACCCACCACTCTCTCTCTCTCTCTCTCTCTCTCTCTCTCTCTCTCTCTCTCTCTCTCTCATAAATAAAAAAAAAATTTTAAAAAAAAAAGAAACACTTTCAATAGGAATTACAAGGATAGGCTCAGATAAATAGAATTCAAAGGATAGCAAAATATAACAAATATACCTACGATAATGAAAGCGTCACATATTGAAAATTGGTGCTTTTACAGTGACTTCAAATTTTCACATGCCCTGGAATCATTTTATTCCATATGCATTTCTAGCACTTAAACACCTTGAAATAAATTCTAGCAACTCTACAATTAACTGAAATTAGTCAGAATGGATCCACTTTTTTTTATACTCATCAATTGTCCTAAGGTCCTCAGGTTCACAGTAAAGCCTCCAATTCAAAGTGATCTCCAATGTGCAAGTGAAAAACAATATTTTTAATGGGTTTGAATCTGATATTCTAAATTAATTTTAGTGTTTAAACTGGCACTGCTAATGAACAGAATAATGAAACATTATAAAAGATTGCATGTAGGAAGATGATGTTAATAATAAAGACATTTGTATTATTAAAGATATATTAACATCAATATCCTCATTATCTATGATAAAATGCCCACTGAGTATTCTTATATTTCCTGTAATACATGGATTTTGAACAGGACTTGTACTATAAATTTATTTCTTCACAACAAAGGGATGCCCAGCAGCAAAATTTGAGTAAACATGGTTATGTAATTTTCCCACTCTAACCAAGGCAATGTTAAGGAATCATCTATTAATTTCTGCTGTCCCAATGGATAGATAGAACCAGTAACACAATGTCTGCAATTTATGGCAAAAATTTAGATGCTTTCAGTGGGGAAGTCTGGATGATTTGCATAGTGATAATCAAAAGCATAACACAATTTATATAACTAACTTATCTCAAAATTACAGGGAGATAGTCAGAATGAATAACAGCCTTTCAGTCACTCAGCAAATGTTTATTGAACAGTTACTATATTAACTTGATGTGAGCATATGAAACTTAAATATTCATGTTTCATATTCATATATATATAAAGTAGAAAATATGCAAGTATCTCCA